CAGCCCCTCAAACACGCCGGTTTTTGCATTGGCATAGAGTTCGCCGGAAACGCTTAACCCAGGTTAATGGCAAATTAAAAGTCCTATTAGCATGCTTTGGCATATACCCTATAGAGCTAAATTTGCTATTTTTGTAATTTGGTGAAATCACAGAAATTGGCTGCAAGTTATTTGAAGTAATAATTATAAAAAAAAATCATTTTTAGAAAGACCAAAATGGCAAATGACTGATTATACATGTTATTTTTCTGGTTGTCAGGCCAAGGTTTGTTGTTAAGACATGATAAAAGTCTTGGTTGCTTGGTTATCAGGTTTCTTAAGAGCCAAGCGTATCTTGGCAAGATGTTTTACACATTGCTACTTTATTGGAGACCCCAAAGTGAAGAATACAGCTAGAACTTTATGTTAATGTCTAAAAAAATATATAAATATTAAATTGTTTGCATGTTTTTTGTACTTTTTGTAGATTACTGAGCTTCAGTGCTACCAACAAATCTAATTGAAGCAATAAACTAGATTTTAATAGTCATACACGAACAAGACAGAAATTTGTTGATGTAACAAAGAAAAATCTTGTTGAGTTGAAGTGCTTTACTGACATTGAGTAGAAGAATAATTTTAATCAGATAAACACAACACAAACATTTTAATTTAATTAGCAGCCAATACGTTACATAGACCTATTAAAACCATGTTAAATATGCAAGTTTATATTGCGTCTATATAACACATTCAAAGTAGTTCAAGTTTACTTAATTTGTTTAGATGCACTATGGGTGCTACAATTAAATCGTGTGGATTCAACAAATTATTTTTAAATGTCCTTTTTAGAAATGATTGGACTTTAGTGCTGCCAATTAAAATGAAGTAACACAATTAATGGTAATATCCATACATAGACTACACAGAAAAGTGCTTATGTGACAAAGGAATAATCTTGAGTGTTCAGGGTCGGTCCAGGTCACCTTTATTAGGCTTGAGTTTCCACTGGCAAAAGTGTACCAATGGTGATTTTGGTGGGCATGGCATACGACAGAAGGTTCTGTCAACAATATGCGGAAATATGTTAAAACTGGGCTCACAGTTTATAAATCACTGTTTGATCAGCATCAAACTGATTATCACAATGGTGTTACAGCAGCTAAGAAGGAATTCTACTCAAGAGCTATTAGTAGTAATAGTTCTATTTCCAAAGTTTTATTCCAAACAGTTAACAGTTTGATCAGACCCTCTCATAACTCCCTCCCTCCCACTATAGAGTGATGTAATGAGTTTCTCAATTTTTTCACTGAAGAAATTCTGTGTTTCCTACATCTGAGTTCTCAACATTCCCCACCACTATTTTGAAGCAGTCTGTATCTGTCTTTGAACCCCACATCACTGCCATTGTTAGTGCATCCGTCAGTAATGGGATTGTTCCACTAGCATTGAAGATGGCTACTATAACACCTGTTCTTAAAATGCCTGGCAGCGACACTACACTGTTGTCAAACTATCGACCCATCTCAAATTTACCATTTGTGGCTAAAGTCCTGGAACGTGTGGTGGTGAGCCAACTCCATAATCATCTTCATGCAAACACTCAGTTTGAGAAATTTCAGTCTTGTTTCAAAGCTGGTCACAGTACTGAAACTGGCCTAGTTAGGGCCGTAAACAACCTTCTTCTAAGTGCAGATAGTGGGGCCTGTAACATTCTTGTCTTATTAGATCTCACGGCTGCTTTTGACACCATATGTTACAGTATACTGCTGGACAGGCTCAGGAAGTGGATTGGTTTGTCTGGTACAGTAATTAGCTGGTTTGACTCTTATCTCGCTGACTGTTCTCAGTTTGTCTGTTTGGGTGCTCATAGATCCCGCACTGTTCCATTGCATCAGGGTGTTCCTCAGGGGTCTGTCCTTGGTCCACTGCTGTTTAGTATGTATATGTTGCCTCTTGGCCAGATTATGAGTAAATATGGCTTGAGGTACCACTGCAACGCTGATGACACTCAAATCTATGTTAGTGCTCGCCCCGATCTTAACACTGCTACGTCAGTTTTATCTGCCCTTCTTTTAGAAATTAAATCTTGGATGAGTCAAAACTTCCTTAAATTAAACAGTTCCAAAATGAGGTCTTATTAATTGGCACCCCTACTAAGGTTAGCCAGCATAAGGATTTTACACTTTCAGTTGATAATGTTCAATTGTCTCCTTCTACCCAGGTGTGTAATCTTGGGGTGCTCTTTGATGCACAGCTCAGTTTTAATTCCCACTTTAAACACTTAACAAAAACTGCCTTCTTTCATCTCCGGAATATTGCACCGATCAGACCATTTCTCTCACGACCTGATGCAGAGAGGCTTATCCATGGCTTTATCACATTACCTCTTGATTTTTGTAATTTACTTTTTGGGGGTTTACCTGCAAGTTCTCTCAGAAGACTACAATATATACAAAATTCCGCTGCACGGGTTTTAACACACACATCATCACGCCACCATATTACTCCTGTGCTACAACACTGGCTTCCTGTTAAATCACGGATTGATTTTAAGACCTTGATTTTAACTTTTAAAGCAGTGCATGGTTTAGCACCCAGTTACATCTGCGACCTGGTGACCCTCGCCACCCCAGCCCACAGTCTTTGTTCTGCATCGGGACTTACATTGCATCAGCCACAGTGTAAACTCAAGACCATGGGTGGGAGGGCTTTTTCACACAGTGCGCCTAAGCTTTGAAATGAACTCCCCATCAGCATTAGGAATGCTGCCTCTCTTGACTGTTTTAAGAAACTTCTTAAGACTTACCTTTTTAGCATTGCTTTTAATTTAGGGTGATCATTTTGTTTAACTTTTTATTCCTATCTTATGGTTCATATTTTTATTGTTTTATTGCATCCTTTATTGTTGTGCTGTTTTGCTTGCATTGTGTTTTAGTGCTTTGCCTGTAGCGCTTTGAGTATAAGAAAAGTGCATTACAAATAAAATGTATTATTATTATTATTAATATAATTACAGAAAACCCACACATCATACATTTATAATTACAAAAAACCTACACACAGCATACATATTTGACTTAAAAAAAAAAAAAATGCAACAAATACCGTAGCCTACAGTCAGTGCAAACCACTTATCTGTATCTTTTATCTTTCACACCTGTGAATCGATTCATTTGTTCCGAAACAGGGATTAAAATTGTTACAATGTTGCTTTTTGTTCTTTGTGCAGTTCGCTTTCACACGGCAAAGTTTAAATGGACCAAAATAGCTAAAACAAGTCACATTCTAGTAAACTGTCCTCACATTGGTCAGAGTTTCAGGATTTAATTAGCATTAGCTCAGCTGTCATGCGTCCTTATTTTAAATTATGAGGATGAGGGATAAAGACATCATTAACTAAAAGCTACACTTTCGTTTTGAATGGTGACACTCATAGACATCGTCACCGAGTATAAATCAGAGGTACACTGAAAAAAATTATTCAAAGATGATTTCTTGAATTGCTAAAATATTTTAAGTTAAGTGGTTGTAAACAATTTGTTTGGGCTGGATTTAAACAAATTAAGTTAAACATTACTAAATGTAATTTGTTTGCTTAAATTCAACACAAATAAATTGTTTGCAACAATGTTGCAGACAATTTTTTTTCAGTGTAAGACTTCCTCATACATAGCAGTTGGCTTATGCATTATAGGCTTTTACATTTTACATTTACCGATAGGAATGACCTCGCGCCCTACTCATAATTCTCTCTTCATATAGCCATATATATGCCTATGACATATCCATGATACACTGTGATATAGCCGGGCTCGGATCGTATCGCTTTCTTACTACAGTCGATACAATTCCAAGTTTGTTTCTATCGAGCCGAGACCGCCTCATTCATGCATTCTCGGACCTGTTGATTTGGAGCAGATTCGAGCGCGATTGCTGGATTTACATATGCCACATAAACCGCACTAACATGGCAAACGAGACAGGTTCCGAAACAAAAGTCTAGGTGTGAAAGCACCCTTACTCTTCATCAGCACATGTAACTATTGTTAGAAAGTTCATAATAGTTGAAAAGGTGATGTTGATAACAGTTAAACATGGCAGTTTTAGGTTGCTGAAATAATCATTTGCTCCTTTGTTGTTTTCCGGCTTCTTTTTATTTTTTTCACGCTTCACTCACGCATTTGTCTGTTTGTGAAATTGATGTCACGAAGCACTTTAATAATCATGCGTGCATTAAGATCACCAGCTTAAGAAGTTTGTTTTTTAAAATATAGATTTGCAGCAGGTTCTCTGGAGAAATTGAAACCGCTCGCGTAAAACAAAAACAGGGCACTGCAGATTTTGTCCTTGGCTTTGTGGCTGTTCATCAAAAAGACGTTTTTTGTTTGCTTTTGAAAGGGTACCCAAAAAGTGGTATGGTACAGTACGGTTCGCTTTTTGGTACCTTTTGACAGCGGAAATGGTCATAAAAGCATACTGAACCATACCCAACCACTCAGTGGAAACAGGCTATTACTGACATTAAGTATATGAACAAAATCAATCAGATAAACACAACACAAACTTTTTAATTCAATTACAGTAGCTGCAAGAAGTTACAAAAACCTATTAAACCATGTTGAAATTACAAGTTTATATTGTGTTCAATATAAAGCAGTTCAAGTTTATTTGATTCGTTTAAATGCATAATGGGTGCTACGATTAAATCATGTTGATTCAACAAATTATTTTTTGAATATCTGAAATTAATGGCAAAGTAGAATTTTGCTCTCCATATCCATTTTTAATCTATAAAATATAGGCTACTTGTATTCTCATGGTGTCGATTTGTCCTTTAAACATTTTACAAATAGGTGGGCTACACATAGGTCAATGGCTACTTTCCAGCTTTTTTTTCAAAATACTTTCTTTAAGAGAAGAAAAAACCTATTAATGTTTAAAATAAGCAATAGGTGATTAAATGAATGTTGCACGTCTACATTATGTACCTCCAGACCCGCTGGTGGCGCTGTTCAGTAAGCAGAGCTCATTCCATGCTGTTTGCAGCTCTCCTTGCTATCGAGTATTTTCTGCAGGTCAGTGCCGAATGTTGGCCATTTGATGCATTATTGCATTTTACAGTATTGAACCTCAGTTTAGTGTGAAATGAGCGGTATGCCCGGAACCAACGTGATCCAAATAACTAATTTGTCGGCGGCGGTAAGCAGCGATCAGATGAGAACTCTATTCGGCTTCCTTGGGGACATCGATGAGCTGCGACTCTACCCGCCTGAGTGAGTCACAACAACAACACTAAACACACATCACACATACGTATTAAACCAAAACAGACATACACCCACGCCCGCCTGAGAGAGATACAACGTATCATACGCTCATCATGCATATCGGATACACACACACACATCCCAAACAGACACTTTATAATGATGACAACACACCATCAGCACCACACTGTCACAAACATACTAACTTGACGTTACATACATAAACATTACATCATTTGGAACACACGACATCTGCACACGTTAACACACATGCCCTACAAATAACATCAAAATGGTATGAAACAGCCAAATGCACACGGACAAACACATCCCAAACAAACCCATTACGTTATAGTGATGACAACAAACCATCACACAAATACTACAACATACATAATCATCAGATAGGTACACACGAGATCCATACAAATGTAAACACACCTGCCTGACCATAACATCAAACACTATAAACAGCCAATAACACACAAAGGGTTGGCATTGATGTCATGACCTGAGTGAACCTTCATTTCTATTTCAGTTTTGCAATTTCATGCTCTATGTATCATTTAATGGAATTTATTTTGATGCCATGTGACATTGCAGTTTCTCCGCTACTCTTGCAAAAATTTTAATATTTCACGAGACTAAGATTTTAAATATGTAGTCATACCGGTCTATTTTGTTTTAATACAATTCAACATATAGTCTCCATATAACAGTTAGTGGAACTGATTTAATAATAATAATAATAATATTAACAATAATTCCTTACATTTATATAGCGCTCAAAGCACTTTACACATTTTTAGGGGGAATCTCCTCATCCACCTGGATGACAAGACAACAGCCATATTGCGCCAAACTATTATTATTTGTTTTATTGAAATCAACATTTTAAATAATTGTTGTTCAGCAGCGGAATGTCTTTCTGTCTGTCTATCTATATATATACAAAATATATTGACAATAATATGTAAATATATATATATATATATATATATATATATATATATCAGAGGTCGCGTTAGACTTTCTTAATGTCCGTCATTTTGACGGAAAGGGTTTTAAATATTCCGTCATAACCTTTTATTGACTGTCATTTAATTTGCATATTTTCTTATCGCTTTTTTCATTTAGATTTTAATAATGAACTTGCACAACGAGCATATAGGCTAAATTATTAATTTATATATTTAACAAATGAACAAAAGCTCTCATCTGCCTTAACTCATATCTTCCTCCTGCGTCAACTTGAACTATTAAGTGTATCAAATGAGACTGATGCAGATGCAGATGCAATTGTCATTAAATTCTGTGTCTTTGCCTCGGAAAGTCGACTTCTCCTAACAGTTTTAATTTTGTACTGGCGGCAAGCCGCGTTCTGCTGCCACACTGGAGACCGGATGTACCAGAGAGCCACCTCAGCCAGCATTTATAGTTAGGAAACATTTCTCCTAAGAAAGTGATCAGAAGTTGGCTGGATTATCTGAATGTGGGATTTACCGATCCTGCAAGCACTCGTTTCACCGTGAAAAAATACTGCAGCACGCGCTCCTTTACTTGCGTTCGGTAGTGCTCACTGCTGAGCTCACAACGCACTCCAAAGCACATGACCTTCTTGCTGCCACTTGGTTGGCCGGTAACAGCTGTCGGCGAATGAGGATTTCTGTCTGTTTGTTCTTCATCGTCCACTGCATCACTTTCTTTTTTTCACCTTTATTATTAATATAACAACTATTTGGCCATATAAAGAAACTTCTCACACTCAGCTGCTGTGACATTTTTGCAATTACGCAACAGTGAAAAGATGAGACAAAACAAAAACAATCACCATCAGCTGGACAGGAGTAAGAATTATAGTTAGCTACAAATTACAATAGATCACCCTCAGCATAATCCGTCAAAATGAAAGATATTCAGTTATATATTCGATTAACGCAACCTCTGATTGATATATATATATATATATATATATATATATATATATATATATATATTAATATATTCTTATATATTAAGAATAATAGTGAGAGATTAAACATTTGAACCACCCAGTTATTCCCTTAAACAACTTTTATTCATTTCCTTAATTATATTTTTAACTGGCAGTGGTGCCACAGGAAAAGACTTGGACACTCCTAATTGTAACTACAACATTCACTGCTTAAGTACAGAAACTTAAAGAAACTTCTATAAATTAGAGTTATAGAAACTCTTCGTTTACATTTTTTCTCCTTCATATGGGTCTTTTAAGCCATTGCTTAAATGCTTCAACCATTCAACCAAATCATAAATTAAACCAACATGCTGAAGTTTATATATATATATATATATATATATATATATATACACACACACACACACACACACACACACACACTTACACATACAGTTGAAGTCAGAATTATTAGCCCCCCTGAATTATTAGCCTGAATAATTAGGATTACTATGTTTATTTTTCCCCATTTTCAAAGATAGAACATTTTTTTTAACACATTTCTAAACATAATAGTTTTAATAACTCATCTCTAATAACTATTTATTTTATTATTCGATTTATTTTATCTTTGCCATAATGACAGAAAATAATATTTTACTATATATTTTTCAAGACACTTCTATACAGCTTAAAGTGGCATTTAAAAGCATAATTCAGTTAATTAGGTTAATTAAACAAGTTAGGGTAATTAGGCAAGTCATTGTAAAATTATGGTTTGTTCTGTAGACCAGTGTTTCTCAACTGGTGGGTCGCGAAACATTTTCAGTGGGTCGTGGAGTGTGTGATAAAAAAACAACAACAACAAAAGTTAAATTTTTAACTCATTCTTCTTATATCGGTATTTTATTTTGAAATGCACGTGCGACAACCGTACAGTTTGACATGTGAAATTTCCTTTAATTATAGCAACAAATATGTCAAAGCGCAAGTATGACCTCGAATATGTAAAGTATGGATTTACATATATTGACGACAAAAAAGGTTTAAAACCTCAGTGTATCATATTTAGTGAGGTGCTCTCACAAGAGAGCATGAAACCTTCTGAATAAAAACGACATTTACAAACCAAACATCCCAGTTGCAAGGACAAACCTGTGGACTATTTTCAAAGACGACTCCAAAAGCTGAGGGCATCAAAAAAGTGCTTAACATCTTTATGTTCAAAACAAGTACAGGAACTCCACGCATCGCACTTTGTAGCTCACCATTTAGCAAAGGCCAATTTAGCACACACAATAGCAGATGAGCAAATAACTGGTGATTATTATAAAGATGGTTATGATTATTTTAATCATTTTACTTTAATTCGCTGGTTTGTTCTGTTCAACAGGATCATGTGTTAATGTTTTATGAACAGTTCAGTTTAGTTACTGGTAACTGAACTTTTCCTTACCCAAACCACTGTTCACAGTTTTTGATGTTATTACTCTGTAATATTACTATAATTTGATCCATTTAGATTTATAGGTCACTATTTGTGTCTATTAACAAATAAATACAAATGAATTATAATTCCTAAAATTATATTATATTTCCTAAAAATTTGTGTCGCAGCATTATGACCATGTAAAAATGTAGGTCCCATAGCCAAACCAGTTGAGAACCACTACTGTAGACTATCAAAAAATATATAGATTAAAGGGGCTAATAATTTTGATCTTGAAATGGTGTTTAAAAATTAAAAACAGCTTTTATTTTAGCTGAAAAAAAACAAACACAAATAAGACTTTCTCCAGAGTAAAAAATATTATCTGTCATACTGTGAAAATTTTCTTGCTCTGTTAAGCATCATTTGGGAAATATTTAAAAAAGGAAAAAAATTAAAGGGGGGCTAATAATTCTGACTTCTGTGTGTGTGTGTGTGTGTGTGTGTGTGTGTGTGTGTGTGTGTGTGTGTGTGTGTGTGTGTGTGTGTATGTATGTATGTATGTATATGTATATATATATATATATATATATATATATATATATATATATATATATATATATATATATATATATATATATATATATATATATATATATATATATATATATATAAGGGATATTTCACCAACAATAAAAAATATGTTACTATTTACTCCAAAACTTCCACTTCTGCAAAGAGTTTCTTTATTCTATTGAACAAAAAAATGATATATTTTGAAGAAGGAAGGAAGCCTTTAACGATTGATTTGCACAGTGGGAAAAACTAATAGTATGGAAGCCAATAGTTACAGGTTTCCAACTTTCTTTAAAACATTTTGTTTTTGTTTAGCAGAAAAAAAAAAAAACTGGTTTGAATAATGGAGGAGGAGTAAATGATAACTGAATTTTCATTTTTGTGTGAACTATTTTTTAAAAGCCCCCCTCTCCTGTTAGGATAGCTTCAAATAGGAATAAGCAGTGTCCTAGTGAGCACACACACAAAAAAAATCTTTGAGGTTTATTAGGTTTTTTTGTCAGCATCTGTACCACTTTTATAAAGCAAAACATATTACTCCACTATTTTGAAAATGATTGCAATATCACCAAAGATTCACCTTACATGCACAAAACGGGTTTTAAAAATCTTATTTATGACTTTAAAATGTGTATCTTTTAAGAAAAGAAGCAATTACATGTAACATATTACATCAAAAAGCATAATAAATTGTTTCTCTTCTCTTTCAGCAATGCACCCCTTTCCTTCTCATCAAAAGTTTGTTACATAAAGTATCGGGAGCCTTCGAGTGTTGGTGTGGCACAACATTTAACCAACACTGTTTTTATTGACAGAGCTTTGATTGTTGTGCCCTGCGCTGAAGGTTAGTACATTTGCATGTGTGTTGCATTTGTGTGCCTGTTTAAAGAAAGACGCTAGTTATCTTCCTGCAAATCAAATTTTTTAGAAGAGCAAACCATAATAGGCTTCCTGACATTATTTTGTGTGTTTTTGTGTCCCAGATGTGTATGATAACCATGAGTCTGTGTGCTGAGCTATCACTGCTATCAGCTTTGTTTTATTTTGTGAGTTCAGTGAAGGCGGGTGGAGTGACACCAGCTCTCTTGTTTATCAGTTGAGCTGGAGGATGTGGAAATGATGGAGGTGATTAAGGTCATACTTTTGTTTTATGTAAGCGCGCCAGGACTGTGTGAACATGCTTTCAGTGTTTTGATAAACTCAAGGGATTTTTGCTAGCTACACAGTCCTTAATTTGTATTCATAAATGCTTTTTTGCCTTTTGATTATGGGTTTAACAATGAGATGATGCATTTCTAGAAAATGAAAAAAGCAGGGTGAATGAATGCCTACACATAATTACTGATAATTATTAATTGTTTATAGGACCTTGAGTGATACATAAAAAACAATAATACATGTTTTCCTAAAAAAAATATATTTGTCAGTTTACAAATAAGGGATTAAAGGGAAAATATGAAGCAAAGTCAAGTTTACAATATTTTGTAAATTCATTTCCACTTTAATGGAAATATATTAAACATTCATTCATTCATTTTCTTGTTGGCTTAGACCCTTTATTAATCTGGGGTCGCCACAGCGGAACGAACCGCAAACTTATCCAGCGTGTTTTTACGCAGCGGATATATATTAAACAAACTCGATTAATGCATTTAGCAGAAAACAGCATGTTTTACTATAGTTTTTAGAGCTGGGGTGCTGCCATCTTGGAATGTCACTGTGATTGACGTCACAGGGTTGGTTCTGTTCCTTCAGCTGAACAGGTGCAGTGGAAGTAATGGGCCGAACACGGAGACTGCAAAGCCAATGCGTGAAGTTGTGGGTGTAGAGCTGGCGCAAATACAAGAAGCAGATGTGTATCTAATATACAGGGTTCATACATTCATGGAAAACTTTGAAAAGTCATTGAATTTTGACGTGGCATTTTCCAAGCCTGGAAAAGTTTTGAAAAAACAGGAAAACCCACAAAGTTTTGGAAAAGTCATGAAAATTAGTTTAACAAATATCTGTATACTTGAATTTGGGCTGCACGATATTGGAAAAAATCATTACTATATTTTGTATTTCTGTGATATCTATTGCGATGTAAATACAATATCACCAGATGATTTAAGGTTTATTTGGATTGATTAGGGGGATTTAGTAGGGGACTGAATTTCAAATAATATATAATAATAAAATTACAAGCATAGATAAATAAAATATAGTTTATACAAAAGTGAATTATAGTTTTCAGGTATTTACTATTCTGGTACCGATATTGAATAATCAACACTGCATAGTCTGCACTGTATTTTATTTAATTTTTATTAAAGTTATAAAAAATTACTTGTGGCCGGATGTTTTAAAATCTGAAATATTGAAATGCTCACACAGTCACAGGCCTTAACGGGACAGTTCACTCAAAGATTAAAATGTACTCACTAGGCTTGGGCGGTATCGAAATTTTGATACCGTCAAAACGCCTCCATATTTTACCCCCGGTATCCGGTATTACCGGCGTAATAAAAAAAAATCTGACGTAAGGCTCAGACAGCGTCACCAAACTGTTGGCTTGAGCCTAAACCATTCAGAAACTGAATAACTTCTATGCGACCTTAGGCTCGCAGTCAGAAAGGGAGAGAGAGAGAGAGAGAGAGAGCGCCAAGCGACGCACAGCTCTCTCTCTCTCTCTCTCGCTCTCTCTCTTACACAAACACACACACACACACCTCTCCCGCGATTTATTCAGTAATTTACTCCCATACCGTAAGAAATCTGGCCGGCTCTCGCGGAACAGCAGCGGGAATGCAGAGAGCTGTATTTGGGCCATAAAAATTAGGCACGATAGGTCCCGAGTCCGACAAGTACATTTTGATTGACAGCTTTGTAAAGCCCTAACCCGTTTACAGCCCGACATTATTCAAATGCTCTCACAGCTCTAATGCATTTTTTAAAGAATGAGTCATTTATATGTTTTAAAGAGCCCATATTATACATGAAATAGGGTCATATCTTGGTTGTAAGGGTCTCCAACAACAGTTTAATATGTATGCAAGGTCAAAAAACACTTTCGTGGTCTTATAATCTGCATTTATTTTTACCTAATTATCCCAGCGACTCTTGTATGAATCGTCCAGTGATTCATTTGTTCCTAAACCCCTCCTTAGCGCGAAGCTAATCTGCGCTGGTTGGACCAATGACAGTCTGTTGCGATTGGTCGACTGCCTTCAGTCAGAGAGTGAAATGCCAAACAGCTAATCAGCAATATAAAAGTAATCACAGTTCATACACGCTCGATAGTGTAGGCGTGGATTTTAGCTGCCAGTGGGTCAATGTAAATACAGACTATGGACTTGAAAATTCAGACGACTAACTATTTTATTGGGCAAAAACTCCAAAAACAGTTGAGGAGATCTCCTAGCTTCTCACTCTGCTCTTTTCACAGACACATACACACACGCACTTAACCCTGCTCCGGACGACAACGCGCGCACGCACACACACACACACACACACACACACACACACACACACACACACACACACACACACACACACACACACACACACACACACACACACCTCCGGACGACAGCGTGCACACACAGACACACACACTACTCCTCGTCCACGGAGCTCCGTTTACAAAGCAGCTGTGTGTGTGTGTCTGTGTGTGTGTCTGGGTTTCTGCGTCAGAGGGCGGGGCCTCAGGTTTGAAAACTCCCGGGTTTGCGCGTGCACGTGAATAACTTGGTTTCGTTCGTACGTCATGGCGAAACACCTAATGAATCGGTATCAAGGCGACTCGTTTGAAGCACTATGAGTCGACTCTTTTATAGATGAATCAACAGTTTTAAACACTGTACACTAACAGATTTAAGCCTTAGCTGGATACTTCACTTCACTTAGAGCTGTGTTACACACTACATGGAGGGGAATTTTCAAAAACCCATAATATGGGCTCTTTAACATCATTTATTCGTAGCAAACGTAGACTATAGGCCACTTGGAAGTTGGAACAAAGAAATAAAATAAGTCCTCTGTAACATCGTAACATCTCAGCGCTCTGGTCTAGGTACATGCACCTTTAAATTGGCCAACACACAAATGAAAAGAAATCTTGCTTAACAAATCAAATTAAAATAAACTCTAAATGATGACGGGTATTTTGGCAATAAAGGAATTAAGATAAAGGCTCTGCAATATTTATTTCTCCACTTCTCTTCAAAATCTGGCATTAGGGCGTCGGTGAAGCTGAATATTAAAATAATAATGCCACCATTAGTCTGTATACTCTGTCTACATTATGATTATATGGTTTAATTAATATTTATTTATAATTTAAAAACCCTTTACTCACCAAGATTAGGCTACGTGTGTTTGTGGAGGAACATTATTAAATCCACTGGCTTTAGCGCAGTCTTGCACTCATGGTGCATCCAGCAGCTGAACACCCTTTCCTGCGGCTACAGGTCGAGATGCAGAGTTCTGATCTGGCAGATTTTGCAAGTTTTGGGTAGGATTGTTTGTTCATCTTCTACCAGTCAGAAACATCCATTTAATTTTCCATGACAGTAGTTTCATTGTAGCAAGAGGCCTCGTCATTTTACCTGTCAGCTTGCGGTTTAGGGCTCTACCGTAATACGCAGTGTATGAGCGACCGCCGAAATACCTGGCTGGAATAACCGCTCCTTCTGAGCTATTGACTGGCTTGACTGCCGTCAAAATTAGCTCTTTTTACTACTTCGTCATAGTTTGTTTCACCTTTGCAAGGATGGATTTTATTGCAGGGATTTGGATTTTTTTGGGTCTCGCCGGGTTCGGGCAAAGATCTACAGCTCTAATGCAGACCTCTCGTTCATATTAACCACGTCTCCCTTCTGTTCAGTCGAAACTGCCAAACTGCAGGACTATGGCGCTCCTCCAAGCTCTTTAACCTGACGCTGCAACGTGCACTCGTCTCACCGAACGTCTCACTGAACGTCTCACTGACGTCTTAAAAAATATTTTTTTTTGCTATTAAATCCATGCAATTTAAGACGCAGACGTGACGTAGACGTGACGTTGACGTCACGTAGACGTCACGTAAATCACGTGTGGCAGTGAAGTGTCAAGCCAGACGTTACGCGTGATTCACGTGTAGCAGTGAAGTTATTAGGTGCTATGATATATGAAGCTAAGCTGCAGCCGGTGATCAACGAGATTAGCCGAGCGCAGGCGGGGCGGAGTTGAAAACGGAGCCATCAAGACGGACAGCTGGACACTTCGGGACTCAAAGTTGCTGCAGTCATGATGACCGATCACATGGCGTCATCATATTTTTGTGTTATTTTTATTTATAACTATAAAACATTTACAAATAAAACAGAATACAGTCTCTTCAAACTGTTTGCTTTTTAAACAATATAAGAGAATTATGAGTAAAATATATAACAAATGCATGAGAGAAATAAGAGGAAATGAGAGGTTAATATAAACATAAAAACAAACAGGTGTATTAAATACAAAGTAATAAGCATAAATTCTAGGAGTTAAACATCACTCTTTTAGGCTAATACTTCTTGTTTAAATCTGCTAAAAAAGGGTGTACATATGTGTACATTTATAGATATAAAAATTTCCAATGTAAAAAGCAAAACAAGGTGTTTTGATTAGGTCTTAATAAATGACATTATTTTGGATAATGAATGAATTTTCAAAAAAGCATTTTAATCCAAAAAGATCGTGTTGAAAACAGGTAAAATAAGTGAGCTATGTAGAAGTTTCCCAGAAAGAGCAGGTAGCCTTTAAACTGCTAGACAGGAAATAAAATATATATTTATATTATAATAATAAAACCATTTTATAATTAGCTATTTATTAAAATAGTTCTTTAACTTATTTGTTAAGAGAGCTTTAGGGTGGCAGGATCAATGATGATGATTATTTTATTTCAAGTCTGTAAGACTTATTTGAGTTCATATTTAGGTTATTCACTAAAATATACACTAAAATATATCATTTAAATCGTTCATGGAGATGAATGCAGTAAATAGTCTGTATAAAAAAGTTGAAAATAAACCTGTGCAAATAACCTTCATAACCAGATTATTTAACAAAAGATGATTACTGCAGTAAAATATTTGTAGTCTTTTAATAAGCAA